TGGTTTCTTAACCTGCTTCACCGCACTTTCCAAGAGAACTGGGGAAATCGGCTTTTTGTTAATTAAAATGGCAGTTTAAATATGCAGGGAAATATCAAAGAGGTTAAAATGGATACCTCTAGGTACTGTACCGACTTGGAAGATGTGTCGAGTAGAAGAGAGGCAGGGATTATATTCAGGTACCTCCCTAAAAGGTGAAATCTGTTCCATACTGCTTTCTCCAGCTACTTAATAAATAGAAATAGTGTATAATAATCACCAGGAAAAAGACACTTCAATGCGGGGAAACCCATTCTTAAACTAACACAGGTCCCTGGTGGTTAGGAAGTAGGGAAGCCTAGAAAAGGATGCACCATCCTGTGCTAAAAAAAAAAAAAAAAAAAAAAAAAAAACAAAACACCCCAATCAGTAGTGCAGATAAGTTTGTTTCTCCTACACGAGATGGGGATCCAATTGTTATTCCTGCGCCTTCCGAAAGGGTAATCCCCCACCCCCACCGCCCCCTACATCGCCGCTACAGCTTTTTTCAAACTCTTCTATAAAGAGGGAGTAGGATCATCTCAAGGCTACAAAAAACTACCATTTCTCTCCCTGCTCGCCAAGCTCTCTCCCCCGCCCTCCCTGCCTTCGACGTCAAATTGAAAATTGCAAGAAATCGCTTTTTTGGGGGGGAAAAAAAGCAATACCTGAATGCATTCAGCACCAAATGCCTCTGAGAAAATACTGTGGGTGGTGATTACGATAGGACAATGCCTTCTCTCTCTTTTGTTTTCTGTTTTCTTTTATCTTCGCTGCCTATAGAGGTGTGGTTTGTTTGGGTTTTTTTCTTTCATGACAAAGTAGGACACAGTCAGCAACTATCCTTAAAAAGAAAGAAGCAAAAAAAAAAAAAAATCAACTTATCTTCGCTAGCGCCTGATATCTTGTCACGTTCACCTCAGCTTGCATTAACCAGGGTGAAATGACCGCAAACAGTGCGACACACAGCGAAATTAAATGTACACAAACTCTGGAGCCGCTAACCCTCTGTTTACCCCCTCAGCAAATACCGTACCAAGTGTGCCACCGCTGAGGACAATTTTAAACCTCTATGATTCACAACAATTTTTCAGGAAAGCTCCTCTCGGCTGCCAGAAGGCCTTCAAGCTACAGTGGCGGTGAGGAATAGACCTCCAAATCCCAGCCCGGCACGGGGAGGAGGTTAGCAGGCTGTTTCCAAAGCCCCTCTGCCAAAGACATCGCCCTGTAAAAGAAGATGCCCCGTGAGCTCCGCAGTTCTGCTCTTCTGACAAAGCACGGCGCAGAGAAGCTCCCCCTGCGAAACAGCCCTCGTCGTGGGGTGAAAAATCACCCCTCCTTTTGCTCTTGCGCTGCTTAAGTTCTACACGGAGTTAAAGCGCTCTGCCAGCCTGCCCCAGTCTTTATCCTAATTAACAAACCCACCGGTGAATAAACACTTTGCTGGCTGGGAGAAGACGACAAGCCGGTTTGGGGGCTGAGGAGGGGAGAGATCCTTACCCTAGCAGCATGCCACGCAAAACTCCGGCTGGTTTTAGTTCCGTACCCGCTACTCTGGGTAAGGAGTGCCTAAGTAACGAGCCGAAGTCCTTACGAGCCGGGATGATCCCAGCAAAAGAGATGCATGTTACCATTCCATGATTGTACGGCGCGGGAAGGTGTCCCTCGAGTGTGCGGGGGTAAAGCTTGTGACCGTGACGGGGAATGAAGTCCTGTTATCTGCGAGGCACCTGGGCCGCGTTTCCCGAGGGTGAGCAGGATGCGGGCGGGGAGTGGCGGGACGTAGCGAGCGCCCGTCTCCGCCGGGAGCTGCCGGGCATAGCCCGCCGGACCCGCCGCACCGACGGGCTCTGCAGCTGCCGACATGAAAACGATCTGCCTCCTCTTCCGAGGCCCTGCTTGATCTGTCCCAGGGAGAAATAACTAGTTAGGATCCTTGCTAACAGCCCGCGCGTTCTGTAATCGCTTCTACAATATGCTGCTTCCACACAGAGCGGGGGGAAACAGGAAGAAAGGAAAACAAACAGCCTGGCCTTTTATTGTCCTGTGGTGTCGGTCTGGAAATTCAGCGGCAGCTAGGCAGGAGGTACAACGAGAAGGTTTCCGTTAGAGGAATGATGTAAAATCCCGATGTCCTTAAAAACAGAACTCAGTCCTGTGAGTCTGCGATCTTTCGGGGTTTTTTCCTTACTATTTACATGCTTTCTTACTGTCGATTTTGAGCTCAGAACAGCGCTGTTACTCTATGAAACATTATCCATTAGAACAAGACTAAGATGCTGTCGAAAGAAGGGTGGTGGAGTGTCGTAGTGAATAAGACCAAGCGTAGGTGTTTGAATACTTTCTTCAGCTCTCTAAAAGTAAAGAAGGAAAACAACTGCAAACCTTTAAAGGTTAACTCCTAATTCTGCCAAATAAGTACTAAGTTATGCATTTAGGCCAAAAGAAATACATTTCACCTGCAAATCAAGTATAACATTTTCAATACACTGCACAGCTCAAAACAAGGAGCACATCTTGCAAAGGATAACTAATGTTCTTATCAATAAACATAATACGACAAACCATCTCTACCCCAGCAAAATTCCTGCTCATTTTGATCGGCTGTGACCTCTATAAATTTCAGGCAGTAAGGCTGGATGACATATGGCTCTATTAAAAAGGGGGAGAAGAGCAGAAACACTTTTTTTCTCCTTCAAGTTTTCATTACGAAGAAGTATAAAGGTGGAGGGAAAAGACAAAAGAAAAAAAAATCACACCAAAACCCTAAGAGCAGGGATTTGCTGGGTGAAGCGAAATTACAAGGCAGGCAGTGTCTGTAACTTCGAGGCAGCCCAGCCTCGTCGCAGCAGTTCACTCTCTCTGAACACCTCCCAGTTCAAGCGAAGGGAAACAGGCTGTTTTCTCTTGCACCTATATTATTAATCCCTCCCAAAAAGGGTTTAACAAACTCGATAGAAAGCTGTTCATGCTGCCATTTAATTTACCCTTCCTAACAGTTTGAGCGCTGAAAATTAAATTCCTAATTTGAAACTGCTCTAGTCCACACAGTGATGTGCACACACTGATAGGCACAATAAAATGCTGCACCTTGCTGCTTTGTGGCACCGCATTAAAGCTTTAATCAAAACTTCATGCTTCGCTGCTAATAAACAGTTTATTATCACGCAATGGCCTAATGTAAACTTTCAGAGTCACTCCCAAAATACAGAGAACAGGGAGAGATTGGCATAAAAGTGGAAGTATCGATTCAGAAGGCAGAATCGTGTTAGGGAAATCCTTTGGATCCTCCCCGAGTGTTTTGGCAGAAGACACAGCCCAGCCTAAGAACGCATTCCCTCCCCCTAGGCTGTCTTTTATTCAAGATATTTTTTTCTTTTTTTGTATCATATTTCGCATTGTTTGGAGGGGAAACTGGAAATTCGTCTCCTTCACTCTACGATGCCAAACCCTCAGGAAAAAAAAAAAAAAAAGGAGAAAAAAAAAAAAAAAGCGCATTCAGGTAATGAAGTCTGTAACTAAACGGTAATTGAATCAGCATAATTTGCACACTGAATGGTTTTCAAATGCTCCCAGTTTACAATTAAAGGAGAATTAATGCGCTTGTTGTTCAGACTGCAGCGCATTAGAATAAATCCAGCACTGTTGTTGTAATGAGTCCAAAGCAGTTTAACTGCCAGCAAACACATTTAAAATTTAACACGACGTATCGATCTCGCTCCGTTTTGGGTTTTGTTTTGGGTTTTTTTTGATGGATTATTTGCCGCGCACTTTTCTCCCCATTTCCCCCCACCCCTCCACCCCTCACCCTGGGCTATAAAATTCGCGGGGAGGAGAGACACCCGCGGCAGACGTTGCACCGCCCGGAGAGGGCAGGGCCCCCCACTTCGGGCGGGCATGGGATGGCTCGGGATACGCCGGGATACGCCGGGCCGGGCCGGGCGCGCGGAGGCTGCGCGGGAGGGGAGCGCGAAGCGCCCCCCCCCCTTCCCCCGCGCGAGCCGGGCCTGCTCGTGATTGGCTGCCCCTCGGTTCGCGCGCCCGCGCTGCCCCGCAGCGCCCCCGGGTGGCGCGGCCGAGCCGTGCAGGGAGCGGAGGGGCGGCGGCGGCCGTGGGGACGGGGACGAAGGGGCCGCTCCCGCAGCCGCAGCCGGGCCAGGGCCGCCGCCGTCGCCTCCCCCAGCACGGTCCCCAGCCGGGATGCTTCTCTCGGCAACGGTCCTGGAAAAAGGTCTTTTCCCTCCCCCGTCGCCACGGGGACGAGCTGCCGCCAAGCGTTTGCCTGCTTAACGCGTCGCAGGCGAGAGAGGATGCGGGCTGCAAAGGAGCAGCCTGCCTGGTTTTTGTTCCTTGTGATCGTAGAGGGAATAAAGTGTGTGTGTGTGTGTGTGTGTGTGTGTGTGTGTGAAAGGAGATAACGCCGCTGTTTACTCGTGTTCCCCCGGTAATCTTAAAGGAGATTTGCTACGAAAGTCAATGACACTTCACGCGGAAAACACTCGCTGTGCTCGCCGCCGAATGCCCTCCCGCCTGTGCCGCGCAGCCGGTAGTGCCACACCGCGAAGGTTCCCATTCGGAGGGGCTCTCACCCTCAGGAGGGAGCAGAGGGCTGGAAGTTGCCTCCATCCCACAGTCCGTCCAGGAGCCCCTGCGGCGGGGCTCCAGTACCCACGCAGAATCCGAGGGACCCGGCCCGGGAGGTGACACCGGGGAACGCGGCCCGGGAGTCTCCGACCCTGCTCTAGCCCCCCAAAGAGAAGTTACGGGTCTGTCGGCAAACACCCCCGTTCCCCGCCGAGATTTCCCGGTGGAGCCCCGAGCCTCCCCGCCCCCGGCCCGGCCCGACCCCGGGTCGGCGGGGCAGGGCTTGCTGCGGAGCACAAGTAGTTGCCGTGAGTTTGTTCGTTCTCCGCCAGGCTGGTGCCCTTCCCCCCTCTGAGCTCCCCGCTCCCAGGCCCATGAGAGGGGCCGGGGGCACTCACCAGGTAGAGGGTGGGCTGCAGCAGAAGGACCGCGTACCAGTACACAACCTGCATCCTCGCCGCTCAAACTTCCCCCGCGCTGCCTTCGCTGCCTCTTTGTTCCTTCCAGAACATAGATCCACCTGACATCCACTTTACAGAACAAGCAGAGCTCTCACCAGCCTAGACAAAAATGAAATTATAGACCCCATGACCACAAGACAAGGTTAGGCTTGAGACAAGGGGCGAAGCGAGGTGTGTAGGGAACGGGGTGGCGGGGGGGCGGGAGAGAAGGAGGAGGTGGGGTGCGTGAATGGGGGTGGGGGAAATAAAAAAAAAACGATTAAAATCGAGTTAATCCAGCGTCGGAGCAAAGTGATTGCACGGTCCAAGGTGGCAGCAGATTGCCTATAGGCAGCGCTCCCCGGCGCTCAGTCCTTTTACTGGGTAGGAGAGCCCCGTGGTGTGGGCTGGGATGGCCCGTGGGTGCCAGCGCCAACCCTGCCCGCCTGCCTGCTCCCTCGGCGGGGACGGGGCTGCAATCGCCCGCCACTTGGCCACGGAACCCCGGCAGAGCGCTGGAAAGCGGAGTGGGGAGAAGGGGGCAAAAGACGCTGGGATCGGGGCTCCGGATGTTCCTGGGGCGCTTAAAGCCGAGGCAGTGAGCTTTGCCTTCGGTATGCTGGAGCAGGTTCTGCGTACCCCCACAAGTACCCACCTCCCTCTGCCGCTCCCAAAGCCGAGCCGTGCCTTGCCCCAGGCCGGGACCGCGCCCCGGGGCGCCCCGACGGGCGAGGACCCCCATCCCCGACCCCAGCCCTCCTCCACCCCCGCGGCCCGTGGACAGCCCCGACGCCGCGGGGGGGGCGCGGCGGGGATACGTACGGCGTGGGGGATCCGACGGCGGCCAGGGCTCCGCGAGGTGCTCCATGGGCGAGCCTAGAGGGGCTGAGTGCCGCGGCACAGCCCACCGCCCCAGCGCATCTCCTCGCCGCGCTCCGCGCCGAGGTGTCCCGCGACCGCTGTGCATCCAGCGCAGGCACTGTCAGGGCGGCGGGGCGGCTGGAAGGCTCTCCCCCCCTCTCCTCCCCTTCTCCGCACACGGCCGCGCTCTGGCTCCGCCGAGCAGGACACTTACGGGAGGAGGGAGCTGCCCGGACTGCCCGCTCGCCTTCGGCGAGGGGCGAGGGCAGGAGCGGCGACACCGGCGCTCCGGGGCGTCCAGGGCGATTTGTCTCTATTAAAAATGACTTATTGGCGAGGGAGCGGCGAGCGCCCGCTATTTAACTTCAGATAAAATCTATCTGCAAAGACCTTGGCCGATCATCTTAAAATAAAGCGCTGGAGCCGAGCACTGTCCGAGCCTCACTGCTTGGGGAGAGAGAGCGAGCAGTGGAGGGGGGAGAAGGGGGGGGGGCTTGCTTGCCGAGGGGGAAGGGAGGAGGGAGGAAGGGGAGTTTAGCGGCGTCCCATCCTCTCCGCTGAACGGGGTGATGAATTAGAGCCCTACCCGGGCTGCCTTGCGCTGCTCGCCCTGCCCGCCTTGCCCGCGCTGCTGCCCGCCTTGTATCCTGCCCTGTCCCTGCTACCTGCCCTGTACCCGCTGACTTGCCCTGTCCCTGCTGCCTGCCCTCTCCGCCCTGCTGCCTGACTCTGCCGGGGTGTGGGCTCTGCCCTCCCTGTCCGCTCCGCTGCCCGCGCTGCTGCCCGGGCACAGCCCCTTTCCTTCTCTGCCTGTCCGCGGGAGCCGGCTGTCTGCCTGGAAGGAGCATGGGAGAGCACCTTCTCCCTCTTTCTTCCCCTTCATTGTAGTTTTTCCATCTCCATCAGGGCTGTCCCGTGCACCGACAGTGCTGTTTCGCCCGCGAAGGCAGCGGGCGCCAGCCAGCCGGGCACGGAGGCGGTGGGATCGCGGAGCAGAGCTGGGTAAGGGGTGCGGGAGACAAGCTCCAGGAGGAAAGGGTTGCTTCTCCCTCGCAAGCAGGAACCTGTAGCCCCTCGGAGTGAAGGTGGAAAGCTCATCCCTGGTCGGTGCTGTGGCTTATCCTCCCAGCTGTTACTCAAAGGGAAAGGTCTCATCGACCTTGTTTTATTTCTTCTTTACAAAGAGTCCTATGGGGTTTTTTTATACCCTCTTCTATCCCCCAAAATGGTATCATTACCAGTGTGACACTGGGACAGGGTGAAGGGGAGGATACCAACAGCACAGGGTAGCCTTACCAGATGCCCAGGTTCAATAGCAAAATTCAGATTTATCACTTCCCAAAGGGGAACCAATAAGCAAGAGAGGGAAATAAGAAAGAAAAGGGAGACTTCAGTTGTCCTGCCAAATCCTTGCTTCCCTCAGGGCACGTAGTGGTAATTAATATCTGCAATCTGAGGCTTCAGTACCAAGCTGTAACATACTGTTTTAATTTGGGGGTCTGAGTTTGGAAACACTGTAATAAAAGGAGATCTGGAAAAGAATGGGGAAGGCAATGAGTACTCTTTGAAAGAGCTGCACCAGAGCTTTGCCCATGGCCATTTCTGCTCCAAACACCTGGAAGATGGGCACTTCCATATGCCTCCAACATCATCACTCTTCTAGACATGTGGAGTGCTCACATTACAGCTTTGGACAGAAGCGTGCAGCCTGCAAGGAATCATACTGTCATCCTGCCCCTCCAGACAGCCTCTGCATTACAGTGCAGGCTAAAGCTGCCTAGACACTTCTTGTTTCAAAAGGATAACAAACAAAAAATTGCAGCTGACTTCTCCCTTGCAACTCCCTCCTTTCTATTTCTTCCACTCTTACTTCTCCATAAGTATGGGGCTTGAACCATGCTTAGTACTCTATCTAGATATATATGAGAGAGAGAGAGAGATTGCTAGATAGATATCACTCTCTTTGCATAGAACAAACTTGCCATAAGCTGCATGGAGCATACAGCTGAGCACTGCAATAAGCTGCTGTTTGGACCCAGGGCAGTTACTCTTACCTTAGATAAGAAATTTCCAATGGGTTAGGTTCCTGAAGATGACATGATTTCTTCAGGGAAGAAAAACTCAGCTCTACTGTATGTATAACTTGATTCAGTTTCTCCAAATTATGGTCACTGTCTTCATTGGAGTGACAAGGAAGTAGTCCTTGGAGAATAATTGCACCTTCATCTGATCAGATAGAAGAAGACCCTTCCAGTCTTTCTCATCCAGATCCTTACACCTCACCTAGGTGAACACTGTGGAGGAGCTCCTGATTCAACTGGAATCACAAGCAAAGTCTTACTTCTGCCCACTGAAATTTCTTCATGATGTAAATTCAACAAGGTCTCCTCTAAACAGCCTGATCTGTGTGGCATCTCCTTGAGTTCAGAGCAAGCTCTCGAGGCAAAGTTGTTAAGAATGGATGAACTGTTTTCTGTCAGGTTTGAACAGATCCAAGGTCTCATTTACTTCACTGAGAGCTTCCTTGCTCTTCAGCTGACTTCCTTAACCAAAGGCCTCTGTGACAAAGTTTCCAACTACGATGGAACTGAGCTTTCCTTCAGAAATGCTGCTGCTTGGACTGCTCCTTCACTCCATTGTCACTCCAGGAGAAAGGAGTAAGGATCATATAGGAGTCTGGATTGATCTTTTTTATTAAAAAAAAAAAAAAAAAAAAAAAAAAAAAAAAAAAAAAAAAAAAAAAAAAAAAAA